AATTTTCATTAAATCCACGAAAATGAATGGCTTAGTGTTATGATTGATGAAAGTATTACTATCTTTTAACCAAAAAAAGACCACTAAAATAAAAAAAATATTTTTATTAATTTTGAAATTTTCATTCTTAAAAACTGTAAAATAAAAACAATTTTTAAAAATTAAAAAGTTAAAATAGATAAAAAATATTTTTTTAATTTTCTATTTTTATTAATCTATATTAATATTTTCATCAATAATTATATTTAATCACTCGTTAGTCTGAATATGAAATTATTAAAATAAATTTTTAATTTTGATTACGAATTTTTTATTATTTATGTCATTTTCTTATATATAAATAGCTCTTAAAAATATATCAAATATTTAAAAAAAAAATTTTAAACTTGATTTCTAAAACGGTTTTAAAAAACTAACCATTAAAACTAAATCAAACAAAATTTAATATTATCAAATTAAACATAATTAGTTTTTTTTCAGATTTTTTTTAAACAAGTTTCAAAAGTTTTTTTAGGTAAGATATATGTACATAAATGATTTGTATCTGCTTAAACTTTGTTTATAAAGAAATTACATGAGAAAAATTATACTAAAATTCGTAACAGACTATTATTATTATATATATATATATCAGGTTTATACTTATAACAATATTAGACTATATAATTTCTGAGGCAAAAGTAATTATACAGTCAAATAACCGTAACATCTCATAAAAAAATTTTGTATAATAACAATGTCACGGTCAAAACATCTGAGCACATGCTACACCAACTTATGAAACAAGTGTTTCAATTTTTTCCATCAAACTTTATTAATATTCATTTAATTGAGGTTGATATTATTATTATTATTATTATTGGTCGAAGTTAATTTTTTAAGTGATATAGCTATAATAATTATTTCTGCTAACATATTATTTAGATCGACTTTACTGTTAACCTTGAAAAAAATATAGTTTAATACTAATAGAGAAAATCATTAGAAATGATGGAAAAATAATTCTAATTAATATTAATAAAAATAACTTTATACCCTACCTTATCAACAAGTATCGTGTTGTCTCCTCCTATTATATAATATAATTTATAAACATTAATTAAAAAATAAATTAATTTTAAAATAGTTTATATAAAAAATTTTAGATAAAGTAGTAGTTTACAAATCAAATTATACAAACTTATAATTTTTATTTTTAATTAATGCATAAATTAAGTTTAATTTAAGTATAAATTATTTATTTATTAATTAGAATTCATTTTCCATTCCCTCCTTATATTTGTTGTACTCTTCCTCACAGTTTTATTATTGTTGTTGCATACCATGCATCTCACATTTTTTTTTCACACTCTTCATAAACTCATTATGTTCAAAAACTATTTTTCTTGTAACAATAATCATAATTTGATACTATATGCATAGTAATGAAATCAAATAATTAGTTTATTATTATTATCTACATTTTTTATCTTTTTTTATTATATTTATAATAAGTATAAATAATAATTAAAAAGTATTTTAGAATATTCTAATGATATTTTAATATTTTTTAAACATTAAAAAAGTGAATTTAATTAATTATATTATTATTAATTAATTAATTTAATTAAGTTTCAGACAAAATTTAAAACAGTTTCACCATTTTATTTATTACTTTTTTTAAATCTAAATATTATAATTATATTACAAAAAAATAAGACAGTATCAACCTTTAATTCCCCATTATTATCTAGTAAAAAAATAATATTATTTTTTAATCATTTTAAAAATTAAAATATTGTTTAATATTTATTTTAATGTATAATTATATTTTAAAAATAAACAAAAATAACTTCTATGTATAACTTCTCCAAAAACAATGACTTCTATGTAATAACTTAATTTTATCCTATAAGTTAATAAATTAGATAACTAAAATTCAATCCAATGAATTACAACTTAGTTTTTTTTATATAATATTAGGTTGAAGTTCTCTACAACTCTTAATCCAAAAATATAAACCTACTTTGCAAGAGTCAATTCACTAAATTAAAACAATGATGAAAGAGAATTAAAAAACAAAAAATATAAGTTCTTGACTATTAAAAACTATACGCTAAGCACACTAGAAATTGAGATAAGTTCTCATAATGACCAAAATAATATAAGCAGAAATGTGTTACAATATATTGAAAATATAAAAGAAATGAGTGATGATGTTTGATATTTATAAAGAAATTGAATTGAATAAAATAATAAGACTAGAAAAGATGGTATAGATAATATAGAATAAAACTATATAATATACAAATATCAATATTTTTATAACTAAGGCCACAACTTAAATCATTATAAGATTAATGATAATTGAATAAATTTTAATAAATAATAATGAAATATTATATCATCTTATAAATAAATATAATATTATGAATTATAGTACTAAAAGTAATTATTTAAATTTTATAACATAAATATAAAAGTCTTAAATAAATATTATAATAATTATATTAATTAATACTTTAGAATAATATTTATTGATAAAATAATTTGCATATAAAATAAAATAAATGACAAATCAATATAACATAAAATTATATGAAAATAAAAAATTATAAATTATATAAAGGACTAAAATTATTAATATATATTAAAATAAAATTCATAATTCAACCTATCAATTAATACACACAATTACCTAATTCACTGTTTATATATTTTTAATATAACATTCAAACATAAATTTAATATAAAGTTATATTATTAATCAAAGTAATAAGCTTATAAAAATAGATGAAGTTTACTTTAATTTATTATTATTTTTATAATTTATATTATACTTATATATATATATATATATATATATATATATTAATTAACATGATGAGATTTTTTTAATTAACATCAGATACTATGATTTCATATTATAATATTGTTTTTTATAAAAGCTATATAGTTTAATGTTATAGACTAATAAAAGATAATAATAAATCTCTTATTATTATACAATTTTATAATTCATTTTTTTTATAATATTAAGTATGTACTAAATATTAGTAAATTTAATCAATACCATCTAACCATGTAACAATTTATTTACTTTACTTGTATAACTATATATATCCCACAAATTACACTCTATTAATTATTGTAGGTGAGATTGATGTAAAATAATTCTAACACTATTTACTGTTATAGTTTATTTAAGTTTTTCTGTACTAGTTATCACCTAAAGTTAAAACACGCATCAATATGTTCATAATATATTTTTATTTTAGGTAAGATATAATTTTTCAATAATTCATGTTAATTTGTTATAATTTTTAATTTTTATAAACATCCATATTTTTATAATTTTTACTTATATTTTATTGGATAATTTAAAAATGATCTACTTATTATAATTAAATAATAATTTAATAAACTATTTTAACTTAAAATAATGATAAATTTATATAAGTTTTTAAACTTTTATAAAAATTATTTATTTTTAAATTGTAAAATTATCAGATCAAAATTAAAATTAAATTAATTTAAAAAATAACTTAAACAAGTATTATACATATTATTATTGTTATTTTATAAGTAAAATAATATTTTTATTACGTTTAAAATTAAATTTGAAGAATTCTTAATTTTATATTTATTATTAATAGATGTGACTTGAGGATTAATTATTAAGATAGTTAAAAATGTTTAGGTACAAGATTTTTTGTGATTTTTTTTAAATTGTTTCTAATTTTTTTTTGTTAAGTAATATTTTTTAAATAATATTATATCTGTTCAAATAATAAGAAGGTGAAAACTACTTTGTTAAATTTTACATCAGTATTTAATAATTTTATAGTATTTCTAGCCTCATATTATATAAACAATAAAAAATCAATTGATGATAGGATATTGGGTATTGGGTCAACAATGAATTTCAAAACATTAAGGAGAGAGAACTGTTTTAATAACAATACTAAAGTCTTAAAATTTGCTAGGATAACCTAAATTTTTGTATAATTCTTAAATATTAATAGGTCAAATAAGTTATTAATTTTTTCATATTTTAATTAATTATTGTTATTTTCTGAGTTTGAACCAAACTTATTTCTAACAAATAGGTGCAGGAAGAATAAAAAAACTCTTATAATGAATTACCATAATTACTTGATAATAGAGATATTTATTTTTATCAAATTGAAATATTTATTCTTATCAGGTTGAAATAATGTTCAAAAATGAATTAATAATCAAATATATTGGATATAATCATATTATTTTATATTATTAAGATATTCAATTTCAATATCTAAAAATTATAACGTGGAAACCGATTACAATTATATAGTTATAAGTTTTATTTTCTAATATTTTGTGTGAATTTAAAAGACTACGATCAATTATAATTCACTAGAGAAAACATCTGCAAAATTGAAAATAAAATATACATTTTTTATTAACTATTCTATAAATTCGATTATTCCTTCACAAGAACCTACACATGCACTGTTGACCTATTAACAGGTTTTCTTTTGTAAGATTATTATATATTATATATACATATATTCTACAAACTAGTTTTTAGTTAATATTTTTTAGATTATATATATATATATATATATATATATATATATTATTCTTAATTATTAAACATAAGTGTAAGTAATTGCTTTTATTAAATAAAAATAATCGTAGTTTTGTAATGAAGAAATTTGGATAATTTTAAAATCTGTGTCTGGTGAAGTTCAATCATTTGGTTTTGCTATAGTAAAATTAAGATTTGGTGAAGTGAATGTAAAAGAGTAGAAAATAATTGATTTTTTTTGTTATAGCTATTCTTTTTTTTTTTTATGATTTGTGATACATGATCCGAATTACAGTTTCAATGCACATGATCATATATGATCATGTACAAATACGAGGTGTGAAGCTATGGCATGCTTCAAATTTATAACCAAAAAACAGGAGAGGGTGAGAATGGGACATGGCATATGAATTGTGATAGCTAGCATGGGCCATTATGATGGTATGTGTCATTGGGCATTGAGCTGATGATGCTGATGCTGATGCTGTTGCGGTTGATGAGAAGGATGAGGACGAGGTTGTTGTTTAGACTGGTCATATTCTGCATGTTCGTTCTTGGGTGGTTCCACGTGTGTGGCAGTGATTGGGATATTCACCTGTCCATGTGGCATTATATCTGGCAAGTCGGGTCCCACAATCTCATGCTGAATGTGATGATGTGGATACAATGTGTACCCTTGAGGCCATGCTTGAAGGTTCCCATCACTTGGATTTGACACGTGGCACTCTCCTATGCCACGTGGATCGGCGTTTGAACTTGTCCCTTGCGAAAATGAACCATACACAGTCGAAGACAAGTCCCTGAAGATATCTCATCGTTAATAATATAACATTATAATAAATATGATTTCTTTTTCTTTAAAAAAAAAAATTCCATATTCATTATTTTTATGCAGAAATCAATTATTAGAATGTATAATAGTGAATTAGCATTTTGAGTTTTAATAAAATATTATAATTATCTTAAAAAAATACCATAATTCGACACTATAAAAACATGAAATAAAAACCTGAGAGGATCCAAAGGAGCAGATGCATCAAAAATCTGGGCATGATTTTGACTCCCATCCTGCAACCAACCTACATTCTCGAAAGATATTGGTAATCCCTGTCATTATTATATAATTTTATTAGTTAAGATAATAAATAAATAAAATTACATTACAAGTTTACTAATATATATTCATATTATTAATAAAAAAAAATATGCAGTAAATTAATCAGAAATAATTTCATATATTATTCTTAAATAACTATTATAAAATTCAACAACTATAAGTATGATAATGTGAAATTTATCAATATATTCAAATTAAATCTTTTATATAATAAAATATGAGTTTAATTACTATATTTTGTCATCATAAAATGTTCACAAGTTTAATAAATAGAGATAACATTATAAGTTTATGTATAAATAATTAGAATTAAATGTTTTTTTTATATAAATGGATGAGTTTATGTATATCATTTAGGTTTTTATTCTAAACTTTTATTAAAAAAGTTAATGGTTCTAATTAATTGTTGTTTAAACATATATTTTCATATCTATTCTTTAATATTTACATTCATCCATTACCTGAATGCCAGAGGGATCATATGAAGATAGATGGTTGCTCATTAAGTATTCCTGCAACATAAGTAAACATGTTTATTTTTTTCTTATATAATATAAATCACATATCAAACAATAAAAATAATAATATAGATTTGTAAAAAAATACATAATTTTTAAACCATGCATTTTACAACAAAGAAAAATGAAGACTGATGTTGCATATATATTAGCAACCTTTCTTTGTATGACTCGTGACAAAACATCTACAAGATGCTTTTCACTATTTTCAAGATCCGCCATTGATGACATCTTTAACGGATCGGGTTCGTATAACCTGTGTTTATCTTCCCAATATTAAAACCATTATCGAAAAAAAATGGTGCGGTAGAGATAATATTTTTAAATGAAAATAAGCATCAAATATATTTTTATTTTTGCTACCTTATCTGCTCTTCGGCCATTTGAAGTTGCTGTTGTAGCCTATTAACTTCTTGTTGAAGTTCCTGACATTAAGAAGAAATTTTCAACATTTTGAAAGGTTATTAAAAATGTGTTTCAAAGTTTTATACTTTAAAAATTAAATTTTGGTTCATGTGCTTCTGAAATGATGAATTTAATATTGGTGATGATTTTTGACAGCATGGTTGGAAAACAAAATTTAGAGCTGCTGCATGGTTTGCTTACCTCAATCTCAGAGTTAATGTCTCCCGGACTTGTTTGATGCAGCAGATGAAACAGAATGACAGAAAAACACAAAAAATTAGCATTACCATCCAATTTCTCAGAAAACAATTGAATTTTTTAAAAGGTTTAACATTATACGAACTTGGCCAATTGAAGCGCTATGTCATTTTCACTCCTCAGTTGCTGTAGTGTTCTAAGCAAATACTACAAAAATTTATGGACTAGTTAGGTTTGGAATAAATAAACAAGGTGTTCTAATTTTAAGGTCTCTAATTAATACAATCCAACACTAACTGAGGAGGTGTTTAGAGGAGTTTTTAAGAATTTATTTTACATAATTTAATCTTATAAATAGTTAACAATTATGATTAAACTCTTGAAGATGACTTATTGTTAGCTCATTTATATGTAAAATTTTTGTATGCTTTAATTATTAATACAATTATCATTTACTGAACTAAATTATTTAGTCAAACATATAATATGATTACTTTAAATATTGTTGTAAAACTACTTTAATAATTATTTGAGAAAAAAGGTTTAATTTTTATATAAATATAATAAGTAAAAATACCTCCTTGTTCTGAATACCCCTGCAATAAGTAAATGAAAAACAAATTAGTGCAAGGAACAAATATTATTAAGGATTACATTTACAAAGAAAAAAAAAAAGATAAAGTAGAAAAAGTAAAAGAAGGCAATGGGGAGTTATTGAGAGAAATATGTATGTGTACCTGCGGTACGGTAGCTCTGGAAAACTTACAGCACTGCATGAAACAAATTACAGTTGAAAACATGAGAATGTGATAAAAAGAAAAAAATGGTATAGAATTATGGTGTATATTTCACATCACATAACAATCATTTTCCAATAAAATAAAATTATAACCATCATATGACATGAAAAATCAAGTTGTGAGTTCAGAACTTACTTATCTCTTTCTTGGTCAGGAAGATTAATGTAACGAGTAAAAACATCCTCAATCCTGATAACAGTAACAACATGATTATGGCTCTATGATAGAAGAATGAATTTGATATTATCAAAAGCTGCGTTTAAAATCTTGTCCCAAATGCTAGTAACATATAAATAACGTGTAAATAATCTGCGTTTAGTTAATACGCCACACTACATTTCAATCTATGAAACAAAAATGTAAATAAATGTCTACAATGTTATAAATAAAAAACCACTTTGATTTACCCTTAAATTTTGCATATCGTGTCCCTTTTTTCTAGAAGAATAACTACTTGGTGTTTGATTTTGTTAGGACAAAAATATTAGTTGCTTCTTTGCTATATAAATTGTGAAGGTCAACTATATGAAAAGGCAAAATTTCTACAATATATGTTGGTCAAGATCCTAATCTACGGTATAGAGCCATTCCGCTGAAAAAGTATACGACAAATCAACAATCTAACCTCCAAGAACAAGAAGAGAAAAAAACCTAACTAATTTACGAAACTACGTGCCATTGCATCCAAAACATGAAAAAACACGATCCTCCAAATCAAGAACAAAACATAACATCCTAACAAGTTTTTAACAATTGTGTTCATAACCTAAATGGATTGGAATTAAACAAGCAAACATTGAGATGCATTAACTTTGTTGTAGTAACATGAATTCAACAGATTTAAGGAAATGACAACATGAAGAAAAGAAATCCAATGTTTGAAAATTGAAGAAATAAATTAAGATGTGAGGAACGGAGGTGCATGCGTACCTTCTTCTGCCGGAGAAGTGGTTGAGACGTCCGGAAGGAGAAAAGACTATGACGGCAATATCAATGTCACAAAGAATTGAAAGCTCGTAGGCTTTCTTGATGAGGCCATTTCTTCGCTTTGAGAATGTAACTTGGCGATTGGCAGCGTTCTCTATTCTCTTTATCTCGAGTTTAACACGACCCATTTTGATCGATCGATGGTTTATCGTTATTGTTGTTGTTGTTGCTGTTGTTATTGTGTAGCTGGAAACTGTGGAGTATTGTGCTGGGTGTGGGTGTTGTATGCATGCAAAAAAAGGAAATGAAGAATCTGAAGGAGGAAATCTAAATTGCCCTCTCTTTTTTCTGAATAAGAAAGGTGAAATTTTAATATATGGAAACATGCATGAAGAAGCTTAAAAGAAGGACCAGTTGGATAGGAGAGAGAGAGAAGGGAATGGTTATAAAGAGGAGAGACGAGAAAAGGAAGGGAGGCGGAGAGATTCATGAGTTTATAAGGAAAGGGTCGTGGATGCTTTCATCTTTTCATTCTTCATCGGCAGACACACTTTGGTTCATTCACTAATACCACAACTTTTCCTATGATTCTACTTACATTGTTATCATGTATTTATCGTGTTTCTTTTCTAACCACATTTTATTTGTTATATAACTAACATTTATTATCTTTTTCTTTTCTCGCATTCACTGTGAAAAAGAATTTAAATTTATAAATTATTCTCATAATAAATAATCAACAACTGATTTTATTCTATTGAATAAAATTTACATCATCTTAGTTCAAAATTAAATTTAAGAATATCATTATTTTGACAATTTCCAACAACGTTTTTTTTTTAAATCTTTTTCCTATGATTAAAAATCACGCACTCTATTAATATTCTAAATTATATATCTTTGTTGGCTTATTTGTATGTGTCAAAATGACCTTCATTCTTTTCTTTGTATACTAATTTTTTAATTATGACAATATAATGTAGTTGGATCTAAAACTATATATATATATATATATTATAAACAAAAACATGAATTTTTACGTTATTTTCATAACTAACTGTTCTGTCAGTACTACCAAATTTATTATAATAATTAGAAACTTTTTGTGACAGATTATATTTGTTGCAAACTCTCGTTATTAAATATTAAAATAAGGTTGGGTTTTATAGTGTATTAATAAATTTAAACTAGACTTTTAAAAAGTGATCTAAATAAAAGAGACATTTTTAGCTTGGTTTAATAATTTATAGGGATCAAAATTGACCCGATTAATGGATAAACTCATATAATAATATATTTAATTTTTTATTTCTTATTTTCATATATATTAAAATTTAGAAAGATTAAAAAATTATAAATATAAACTTTTTTTTTATCTTCTCTCTATTTTCGTCCCACTTTACACATATTTCTTACTTTTCTGTTGGTTCGTAACTGTAATAAGTGACAGAACGAAGACAGTCACTCCTCGTACCTTCTAGAACCTGTATCTTCCGTGAATTTTCGTGTATCCATTACTTTTTTTACAAGGATTTTTATTTTTAATATTTTACTTTTATCTTATTGAGTCCTATAGCACTTTTCATATTAAAAAAAACACTACTCGTATTAGTATTTCATCCATTAATAATCACACTTCTGCTATGTCAACTAATAGTATTACTCTCAAAGTGTAAAATTATTTTTAAAATATTGATATAATTAAAGTGGTGATTTTTTTTAAAAGATAAGAGTTGTAATAATTTATACGTACATAAAAGAATCATGTCTTTTTTTATATGAAATCTTAATTTTTCTTTTATAAATAGATAGTAACTTTTTTAATTTTTAATTAAATAAAAATATTTCATTTTAAAATAGATAAAAATGTTGTAATCAAATTGTATGATATTGATCAAAATAAACTATTTAAATATTTAATTAATTTATAATATTTAATTAAGTGAAATTCAACCATTTATTTTTAATATCCTATTTATCACAAAATTCATCATAAAATAAAAACAATTAATATATATATATATATATATATATATATAAACAATCAATATATTAATTATTTGTATAATTTAATATATAACCATATTAAATCTATAATACTGTATAACATTAAACCTACAAAAATATTTAATTATTTTTATTAGTCTGAATGAAATAATTAATTTATTTTTATTAAAATATTTTAAAGAGTTAAAATTATATATATATATATATATATATATATATATATAAATTTTTTTAAACTACTCATATACTTATAATTTTAATAAAAAAATTATATTTTTTTATATTTTCATATTCTTGACATATTATATTATATATTATTTTGTTCCATAATTAATCAAAATCCGAAACTATATATATTAATATACCTAATTGTACAAATATATTTCTACATAAATATTAATATTACTGAAATAAATTACTTAATAAAAATATATTAATAATAATTTTGTAACCATAAAAAATGTTAATATGCAAGCATTATATACTCATAGTTATTCGCATTTTGATTAATATACTTTTATTTGTGCAAATTTATTTATATACATTTATGTATATATAGTAATTTATTTGTTATATTTATTATTATTTATAGCCATATTAATAGTATAAATTTATTAATGATATGAATGATACCAATAAATGTAATATATATATATATATATATATATATATATATATATATATATATAATATGAATTGAGATTTGTCTTTATCATTCATATTTTTTTTAATAATGGTCTAAATTATTATATTATAAAAAAATAATATAGATGAAAATTATATTTTATTTTTTATTTTGATTTAAGTCAAATATATATATATATATATATATATTTCCTTTAAGTTATATATTATAATTTTTTTACATATAAATATATTTATTATTTGGTGACTAAGTATTATTGTAAAATTTTACATAAAAATTATATATTTTTCAATTATAAAAAAAGGTTAATGCTAACTAAGAAATTCTATTTTAAATTCATATTTTACCTTGACGCGTTTATAAATTAGTAACAAACGAAAGGTAATCCATGATGATTTTAGTATTCTTTATTAAAGAAGTTTCAATATATTTTTCATTAAATATTTTTATTATTTAAAAATTAAATAATTAATATTGTATTTAATTGTATGCATATGCTTTTATTAATTACTTACATTTTTAAAATTAAAATAAATAATATAATTTAGTGATTTAATTATACAAAACTTTTATAGTTAAAATATATAAAATAATTAAAAGAGAAGAGAAAGACATATCATTTCTGTTCTATAAAAACAATCTCCCCATTCATATAAATAAAACAGTCATAATATTTTAATGTTTAACTGATTACCATATTATATATATATATATATATATATATATATATATATATAAAGTTATTGATTCAATTATTATAAATTGTATATACTAAATTTATTAATAAAATTATTAACTATATTATATTGTTGATAAGAATGGAAAAACTCTAATGATTTTATTGCTAAACAATTTCTCTAGCCAGTTTCACAGTTGGAAAAAAGTCAACAGTATAAAGTTTTCAAATTTATTAAAATAAAATAAAATGATATATGTGTCAAAAAAATAAAAAAGTAAAGCTGAAAATAAGGCATGCTTTGCTGTGAGTCTCCTACGTTATTTTACTTTTCTTGATTGCATTTTTGTCTTTACATCTGAAATTCAATTAAACATTGAATACTTGTGGCCCCACAAAAATGCACCAATCAAACATCATGCAGACATCTGCTTGCTATTGTCAACCTTTATTGATAACAGTGCTACAATGTCTTTTTGTGACTCTTTTTATAAATACTAATTACAGTTACAAATAAAAAAAATAATTTTCCTTTTTTTTTTTGACTTCTTTAAGATTATATTGTAAAAAATATTAAATAAAAAGTGCAGTTTTTAATACTTTTAAGCTAATCTTTTCTGGAAATATAGAATAAGTATCCCATATAAACAAAAAAGTAATTAATTATAAAAATAATATAAATAAAAAATTATAAACTTCTGTTGAAAATTCATAATTTTATTTTTAATATAGTTTTAACTGAAATTTCAAACAATTTATTAAAAAAAAAAACTTCTAGAAATTATAAATAAGAACCGTCACTATGCCTTGCAAGCTAGTTGCGTGACTAGTACTTAAGCACATTTCTTGTTCCTGTGTGCTGTCTCACAAGAAATTCTGCACTTGAAGCTTCATCTTCACCTGGTTTCTCTCAGGTATTATTTTCACATCTAAATCATAGTTTTAAGTAGATCTGAATTTTTTTATCAATTTTTCTTTCTTTTTTATCAGTTTTTCTTTTTTTTTTATCATTTTGTACAAATTTTCATGTTTGAATATTTGTGTCAATAGATCTATTCGAATGCATAGCAATTTTTTATTTTTAAGATATGTCTAATTCTTTCTCCATGGTCAATTTTTTGTCAAAATCCACATCTTAATAAATGTGTCTTAAATATATATTTTGGTAGACCCCTGTACCATACCATAAATACTTTTTACAAAGGATTGTTTTTGAAAAATTCTTTATCTTAGTATTTCACTTTTTTTTTCAATAAGGTTGTTCTTTTTTATAACAAAGTTAGAAAAAAAAAACTAGATCTGAACCCTTTTTTAATTAAAATGGCTTTAAAATTTCAAAATTTTATAATTTTTTAAAATTATTATTAAGTAATTTTTTATGTAATTAATTTTTTCTATTAGACACAAATTTTGGATAAAAACTACGTATTTCGTATACTTTTTCTATACAAAGATGTTTCCATCCAGATAAAAAAAATATAATTTTTACTCGCTAATTTTACAATATTTTCTTTTCCCAATTGTTTTTTTTGTTTGGCCCTCTCTATAAACAAGCAATAATAATTATTATTAATATTATTATTTGTATAACTTTTTGTCTTTCTTTAAAAAATTAATATTGAATGTTAATATCTTCGATGACACACGTCACTCTTGTGTCAGTAGTAGTACGCGTAGTACGCGTATTATTTTATAATGTCTTCATCCAGAGTCTCTCCAGTGTCAATTTTATTTCTCTATCATCTTTCTTCGCCTTCACCTGTTTATTTTCTCTCTCTTGTGTTTTTCCTTGCAGAGACAAGAGAACAAGAGAGGATCTTTTGGTAAGTACAAACGTTGGCAATTGCTCGATGCTTCATTCTCTCTCCTCTTTTATGTTATGTTTATTTATGTCTATTTTCTTTAAATATCGTTTTTAAATTATGATACTTTTTAAATTATCAAATATGTTCTAAAAAATTATGTTAATTAGGTAAGTCTTACAAATTTATAATAACGATCCTTTTCCAAATCTACAATAATAAGTATTTTTAAAAACAGATTATATTTTTTCAAAATTAAACCAGCTTACTTTTTTTAAGCATGTTTAAGCTTTGGTGAGATTCAAGAGTCTAGTATTTAACGTCAATCAAGATTTTTATCCAATGATTTTAATTTTAATTAAAATATTGGATCATATCAACCCTGTCTATATTAATTTTTTTTGTCAAAGTCCACTAAAATGGCATCCTTTGTATCTAATACTATAGAAATTTCTGTAATTGCAAATTTACTTTTATCCCTTTCATGGTTGCATTTTGTACTTCATTCTTCTTGTAATCAGAATTTGACAATCTATATTTATCTAAAACAAGTTCACAGTATTCTATTCCAATACTTTCAGGACTAAGTTGGTACCAGTTTCATTCACTATGGAGAATTTGGTAAGCACTGTTCACTATGGCCCTATAAATGCAAATACAATTGTGATCGCAAATGCAATAAAGAGAATTTAACAATCTGTTGCAATTAATTACAACTGGATTGTAATTTACATGGTATGAGAGATGTATGATTATAACTCATAATCTTAATGATGTGAAGGTATATTTATATGAAAGCAAAACTTATTTAGGCCTTTTATATTATTATTTTCCCTTAGATAAATAATCTTGTTATACAATTCTTATCCTCAAATTCCCTTTCCTCTGGATCTAAAATTGAACACATGCACTTTATTAGAATCACTTCAAGTCATCCACTGGCGAACCTGTTGCACCTCGATTCACTGAGACAGAGGTAAGTGCAATGTTAGTTGCTCCCAGCCCTGCAGAGAACCAGGTAAGCTTTTACTCATTCTTGGAATATAATCCTGCATATTTATATTTATATTTATCAGTGTGTATCAGTATTATATGTCTTATATATATAGATAGATGTGATTCCATTTGAACAAGAGTTTGTTTATTTTGTAAAATTATTAGGTTGAAAAAAAGGTTTTAAACCCAAACTTATTATCCTTGTAAGAAATATATATATATTGTCGCTATATATTTATGTGTTTACATTATTAGAGTTAATCTTGATCATATACATCCATGGATGAACCAAGATTATTTTTATTAAATTAAATCTTGATGAATATTTTTCTTTTATCTAATATAGAACTTGATCATTTGACCAGATGGCATTGATACCAAGAGGAGAAACCCCACAGATTCAAGAGCAAAATTACTCCAGAGGCTATGATCTATTCAGTCAAGTATTTCAGAAGGAGCATTCACCTATGTAAGTTTATTTGTGTCATTCTATGAATATTTGAACAAGTTTTTGTTGATACATTATACATATCTTATCCTTTCTAATTTTTGTTTAATTTATGTATAATATATGCTCTACGTTTCCATGTTGTATACAGGCATCATTTGGGTATATCAAATGAATATAATGCAAGTGGTAGTCAGGTATTGGATCCAAATAGCACTTGAAACAACATTTATAATAAATCATCCATCATTACATCTTTAATTCAAAAATACCCAGTGAATACAATCGTTTAAAAATATTGTTCTAAAAATAGTGATGTCATTTAAAAAGGTTGCTAAAAAAACACAAGAGTAGAAGTTAAATTGAGTTTTTATTATTTTTAAAAAACTTTTCTAAAAACAATGAATGTGTTGAAAAGCACAATTTTTAAAGCCCCTCATGTTAGCAAAGGAGATGAAGATGGGTTATAATACGATATAAGAATTATATTATATTCATTCATCTCCATAAATTCCAGGTTCAGCCTTTGGTGAATAAGTCAAGAACTTTCACTACTATATAATATATATCATTCTTCTTCATAAAAAGGTTTCTTATTTTTCTCCAATACAACTTTATACACATGCATGAAGTAGGAAGATGGAACTCTTCAGTGATGGTTGATGTGCAAACTCTTAAGTCTAAGCAATGTACACATTTGTCTTAATGAATTTTCATTTTATTATGATATACTAAGATTAATTTTGCAGCACACTTCATACACATTCAACTTATATTTCATTCAAATCTTAACTAATGTTTCTTGTCTATTAATTTTGTTGGAGTTTCAATCATCTGAACATAACACCATTAATGCATGGGCATTTTATTATTCATTCATAAGCAGGCAATCAGGACCACTGAAAGATCTGCATTACCATCACCTCTTCAAAGTGATCCTACAATTAACTCTCACAGGGGATGGAACTCTGCATGGTATGTGGTGTCTAATTTAGTAGTCCCTTTACGCATCCATTTTGTACTAATTTATATGTTTCTTGAATATCAGGCCCCAACCCAGTCAAGTCTCCGCTGTTGGTGCTAATGCTTCACAGTACTATCATAATTACATGCAGTATGATTCTTCTACATATATATGGAATACATTTTTTCATAGAGATTAATTAATTCATGAGTAAACGAGTAAAACATACATAACTTTCCTTTCAAGGATACCTAGACAATTCACCAGCCCACTACATTAAAACTATTCATATTTCAAAGATAGATTTCAAATATAATCTCTACTTATAATGTAATTTCCTATTTACCAAACTAATCCTAGGTTTTCTTCTAGTATGTGTCAAATTCTTTTATTCAATTAAATCTGTTACATTTTTTTATCATGAAAAAATTTAGCAAGTTAGCCTAACATGCAAAGAAGTTAGAATTATTTGGCTATATCTTTTTACCTTTTAATATTCAATGACTCCTATGTATCAAATCAAGCTATATCTGGTTTTCTTATTGTAGGTATGCCCCAGTTGGTAATCCAAACCACAATTACCAATCCCAGGTGGCTGGGCATAATGGTTATGGGGATCAACTTGTTGACCCTGTTCAAATCCCAAAGTAAGCAATCTTTAGTTTGTAACTATACATTAGAATTTGATCTTATATATTCATTTAATTCCACAAAATTGACTTATGGATCACCTTTTTAATCTTTCCTATAACGGTTCCAAGTGTCAAAAGATTTTCATTCATGCAATATCCTTCCTTCCTTATCAATTTGATTCAACTTGGAGTTATTGGATCCAACTAAATAAATAGAGTTAAGAGTAGATGACCCCATCATCAGATGAGCCCTATTTAGCATTAGTGTAAACATTGTGCATGTTATTTTTTTCGAATCCAAAATAACAATCATCATTGGAAATCAAAGTGCATGTTAAAGACATAAATAAATTTATTCCTTTACACTTTCCACAGAAGTCCACATGCATCTTTTACTTACAATTAATTCAAGTTTGTTGAAGTTATCATCTCATTGGATATTTCTAGATATATATGACACCATAGTAAGAATTCTTTCATAAGTATTCATCATGTTCAAAAAACCTAACTCTCTCATACATCTTATATTTAATTTTTTATTATCAATATGTTGTAAATAATAGATGATTCTGGGTGTATAAACTTAATTAAGACATTTAATTTTCATCTGATATTTTTTGCACATTTACTTTTATTAAAAAAGATTATCATGTTGAAAGCATCTTTAGTAAATAAATATGAAACCATAATAGATTCGAGTTTAATAACAAATATAGTTGGTATAGGACTACACACTTCATTAAGACTGCAATTAAGGAAGTCTCTGAATATATATCAGAAAAACTTTCAATCCAATCCTGCAATTGTTAATTGATGTCACTATTAATTGTTTCCTTGCATATAAATTGATGAGTGATAGCATTGTGCTTGATCTTGATATGTTATATTTATCATTGTTAATGCAAACTTGTTGTAGTATAATATCTCCATAACCCTCTCTTATTATTCCCCAAGTCTCCTATTCCTTTTATCAATATACCTTAGTTCGTAATAAACCAAACCCATTTATACATCTCAAATATCTTTGTCTTAAAACCATAAATAATGTGATGATATGTAAAATATAGAAGAATATGCAGCAATCAGTTATTAGCTTGGATATGAAGGTAGAATGTTGGTTTACGCATGAGTCTTGCTCTTCCTAAATCCTTTTATTCTCATATAGGATACCTTTTTCGTTTAACTGGGTGATTCCATTGCTCTGTCGTTTTGATGATGATTTTTGGATTTAACTAGGGTGGAACAATCAATGGTGCATCAAGTTGACCCTGCTAATGCAAACAAGGTCACCCCACCCTTACTGAGAGGAACAGTTCCTGAATCTTCATCTGCAAGGTAAGCATTTACTTGAAATATGTTCAAAAGCTTCCTAAGCAAACATGGTTGTTTGGATTGATTAATTTGGCTTTACTGAAAGTACTTGTTTTCAGATCCTACGAGTAACTTAAGTTGGTTATGATGATTATTGCTTGTCAAATAAATTATTCGTTATATAGTTGGAAATATATATATATATATATATATATATATATATATATATATATATATATATATATATATATATACTTTAAATGAGATGTGTATTGTTGGGTTCGTAGTTATCATAATATAGTATTAATCTCTCTCTCTCTCATTATGCATGCATTGTTCATGTTTGAAGCTCAAATAATTCTTAAATAGGTGAAGTGATATATATGTTTGATGTGTAGTCATTTTTTTTTAAACTACCACTTAGTTGATCTCTATTTCAATGAGTGAAGTTGTAAGACAAATTGTAAGTACATGAATTTTGGCTTCTTAATATAACTTGTCTAGCTCTTTTCTATTTCTTTATTTTCTAAACTTGGGTTGAAATTTGTGAAAACTATCCTTGGATACTTGATATTCTAATTTAATTGTGTGTTGATTGGTGCATAGGGCACACTTTGCAAATCCATTTGTCAACATGAACAACCAGAACGCCAAACCAATGCTTCCTTCAGCTGATCAATCTAAAGGTCTGATTCCTCTGCAAAATCAGACACAAAACTTGCTGATGGGAAGGGTAAAATTTTCGAAATCACTGTTTATTTTTAAGCCTTAGAAGATGACAAAATCATTTTTAAAATATCCGATTCTGGGAATCTAACACACGAAATATGGATTATGGAACTTGAAAAGGATCTGAGGAGAGAAGTGTCAATGGAAGCAGCAAAGAATTTCAAAGTCGGAGAGGTAAACCCTATATCTCATATATATCTGCAAAGCATAGGGAGATTTCATTTTGAAATATTTTTTTGGTTAAAAAATAAAAATGAAAATTTTGAATGAAACTTATTACACTACAGGGACGAGCTGAACGATCATGGGATGCTGGAGAAGGTCCATCTGCTAAACGTCTGAAGGTACATATTATGATTGGAAGTAGCCATAAAGTTAATATTATATATATATATATATATATATATATATATATATATATATATATATATATATATATATATATATATATATTGAATTGTAGTTGGATAAAAGTAAAAAAAAAAAAAAACTATACTGTTTGAACGTATCTTTTTCTCAAATAAATTATTCATGTCTTAATATTTATACATTCTTTAACATTGTTAGAGTTTACAACTTCTATGTGTGAACTGTAAATCAATTAAAAATAAAAAAAAATATCATATACAAGTATAGTTTTTACTAAAATTTTAGTTTGATTATCCTTATACAAATTTTAAAATTCCATCCATGCCTCTTTTGACTTTTATTTGCTTCATTTTCCTGTTGTAAAGATTGGCATTAGAGGTTGCTAATATGTTAAGAGTAGTTATTTGACTAATTGGTTAATTAATTAACTTTGGACTCATTTTAACGAATCAAGTTGATTTTTTTTCTTAAGTTTCTGTTCTCTTTTTGGGCTTAACCTGTTCAAAATTGTTGTTGTATAAAGTGTTAACCCTGGATGGGATTTTGAGGTTCTTCAACATGGTTTGTTGTCTGTTGTAGCACATAAATTCACCACCAAAGGAAGGACCCAACCAAGGGCCTGCACCCCAGGAGGCAAACAATGCACCTGAAAATCCAAAGCTTCTGGATCTGATCAATAACACTGGAAACAATGGAGGATTTGTAAGGTTTGGTTCTCCAATCTTCATACTTCTCAGCATCCCTTTCTCCCAATAACTCTTGGATTTTAACTGTCATGTTTTGGTGAGTTTCAGTAATTCTCTCTATGACCCAGCATTTGAGACTCTTGGCCTGGCAGTTGACCCTCATATCAGATTGTTTGAAGCATTGGCTGGTAATTACAATACTTTCTTTGAACTATCATGACTATAATGAGCACAAATTCATAGTAGTTCATTCACTTTCTATTCTGAGATGTCAAAGAAAATTTACAATACTACATACATTTTGAGTAAAAAATCTTCAAGGTTTTGACAAGAATCTTGCTGTTCTTGATGCAGCTCGCGGGGAGAAGGGGTATCGCATGTTCGATTGAAAACTGCGTGGAACTCGAGGGATTGAATCTCTTTGGAGTTTTATTGTTGTTCAATCAAATTCTCAAACCTGAGACTGTGTTTGTTGGCTTGCTTTGTGAGACCTATCTTTCTGATTTCTGTCTGGTAGAGACGTAAAACTGCTTAGTCGTTGTGGTGTTTTAATCATTTCAGTACTTTCATTACATGCATGCATAAACTTATTATCCCATTTTAACTATAATGGGTTTGGTTTATTTTAAAGTACTATCGTTAGACAATGAAAATTGGCCTATTTTGTTTCAATTATTTATCTATTAGATATGTGGTAGTTGGCTGCTAAAGTTATTTATGGTTAGATTGATTTTTCAATACCTTTTTATGAAATACAAAAGTTAAACTAAATGAAATGATTTCATAAGCTAAATACATTTTGTATGAGATAGTTTATAACATTCTTATCATATAGGTTCTTCAAATCTTATTTTAAATCTATATGTAAATTAATTTTAATTTTGTGAAAACAATTACATAGAAAATTTTGAGAAAAATTTAAAATTGTTTCATTGTAAGTGCTTATTGAGGAACTTTATTGGTCCGAAACAACTTTCTTGGCCCATATTTTTGAATATTAATTATAGTGGAAGAAACATGTATAGTGAACCTTGCAAATACTTGAAATCCATTGAAGAATTTGAAAACCTGTTTTACAAATCCTAATAATGCTTGACAAAATGTACAGATCCAATTTTTTTCTTTAAGTGAATATGGATCTGTTAGGTTATTTATAGAGTTCTTTTAACATTACACAATATTTTTCTTTCTCATTAGGAATTGAGGTGTTCTTTAACCCATTTTTCATTTCTATTTTGCAATATTTGTCCAATTATTCAAGAGTTGGTATTGAGCCATTTTTTTTTTTACACATTATCTGCAATTAAAACCTGGGACAACCCAATGGTGAAGTGGATATTTAATATTTAACTCATAATATATTATCATGATTTATTGTATTTTTATATTCAATGTCTAAGGCCAATTAATATTTAAAAAACATACATAAATACAAATTAATTATTTTATTTTGTTTAATATGTAATTTTAACCTTTCTATTTTAAAATAGAAACATTTTATTTTCTGTTTTAGAAAATTATAATTTTGACTTAATCCTCAATTTTGTCTACATTTATTTTTTCTATTTATTACATTTTAGTTAACTAAAATTATTTTTCATGGTATCTTGAATTATATTTTATCTATAGTTTAATTAAATCAAAATAAAAGAAACAAAAGACATGCAAAATTAAGAATTGAATTAAAATTGTATTTTTTTTAAAAAGATAGAGAGACCAAATTCTTTATTTTAAAACGAGGAACCAAAATTGCAAATTGAGTAAAATAAGAATACCAAAGTTGTGTTTAAGCTAAAAAGATATAAGTAATATTTATTTATGAATTGTGTCCAAAATTACAATCTCCTTTCAATCTAGTTATTTATGACATTTTTGTTGCTTAGGAGAGTAAATAAAATGGTCTGCAAAACCCTAAAGCAATGCACTTAGAAACTTCTCTCTTTGTAAAATGGGCCTGAAAGCCCAATTAATGCACACTTATTAGGGGTATTATCGACATCCTCATAGCATAGTGTTAATTTGCTTATTACTTTTGAGTTCTGAAGAAGGCATTAAATACAAAAACAATATTCACTCTCTTACCAAGATATATTGGTAAAAAAAATTGTTTTTATAAATATTTGGTTGATAAAGTCTAAGATTACATTAATTATTTTTTTATTAATTATATTATTATAGAGAAAAGAAATAAAAAATTTCTTAAGAATATTTTGATTAAAAAGAGAATATATATTAATAAAAAATAATAATAAACTTATTAAAAAATAATAAAAACTAATAGTTTATATTAATTTGTATAGCCAAATCTTAACCGAAGAGAGAATATATTATTATGTGATTCTTCTCCATTTCTTCATGGCAAGCCATGCATTACCAATAAGAATTTAATGGTACATGTGATTATTCTTTACAAATATGACACATCATTGAACCAGTTAAGTCAAAACCATGTTTATTGAATCGATTAATAAATACTAGTATAATTTAATAATATTGAATATTACAAATAACACAATTTTATAAGATTTTAACATTAAAAATCAAATTAAATATACCATAAGACGTATATCTAGATTTCAACATTACATACTCATTTATTAAAAACAACAAGTTTAGAATAAAAATTTGGCAAAAGCTTTAGAACAATTATATTTTTTTAATAAAAAAATATATATTGTATTGATAATTGTTCATTAACACCAGTTTTTTTTAAACCTTTATTAATATATTTTTTTTGGCGATTAGAACGGTTTTTAAAACATGGTATATGATACAACACTTGCTCATGGTTAAAACTTTTAATTTAGAAAATGCAATTGTTAATAATATCATTTTCTTCCATTAAACGTGGCTATGTTGAATAAGATTGAACGTGAATCATATCATTTTAGCTCATGCATTGTAGGTGTCTTCGGGGAAGGATAGAGTCAAGGTGCATCCTATGGACAGTTAATGGAAAGATAGCATCTTGGGTTTTTTTATGTTTTACTTTTCTTTTTCTTTTCTTTTTTTTTTCTTAACGTTCTAAACACTCTTAATGATATTTTCAAAGTTTGGTTCTCTTATTCTTTAGTCAAAAGCATCTTGCTAACAGTGTTCTATAAAAATTAAAAATTTAAACTAGTAATGCGGAATGTTGGAAGGAATATGAAGTATAATTATAATTGACTGACATGAAAAGAATATTTTAATAATTTGGCCATAAAGAAGGATTCGGAACATAGCTATAGTGCGGATTGATGGTACATGTTCAATCAACAATGCCAGGAACTGCAGAAGACACTGTATTCTGATGACAATTAGGAGAGTACACAACTGATATTTTGGATTTAAATAATCATCTCGTAAGCAATATCACCCTCACAAAAGTATAGCTTTAAACTTGATGCATAAGCATGCATAAGTATACTCTATCTTATCTTCAAGTATTAATCGCTTGGTGATGAAAACTCAAACAAAAAAAGTAGCTATAAACTGGATGCATAGAGATGCATATATCTACTCTATCTTGCCTTGGAGTAATATCACTTGGTCATGAAAATTCTGAAACCATGCCAAGGACCAATTAGCCTAGACTCTTACGCTATCAGGTAGAGGCTCATGATGAATGTCTTTATTATATATCTAACAGGTTCTACATGCAAAACCAGTCAAGAAATCAGCAACTATACAAATCTCTGAAGTTTGGTTAAATAAAAAGTTGTAATATTAATATCAGAAAAAGATATGTAAATTCTAAAATGCCCGCCTGTTTGGAAATGCAATGTCAGAGATGAAATTCAGACGAACAGAAATTTTAATGTCGCAGCTGCTCATAATTCACTAAGTATTTAACGTGAAATAGATCTAACATGCCCACATATAGAAACCATCTTCATATTTCCAAAATACATTGCTACAGAAAAAGATTTTAACCCCTGAAAATAAAATACTTATATGAAAATGAAATGTAATAGATGAGCCCCACCCCAGCTTTACAATTAAAGTTTTCAAAGCATGACCACAGCTTTTATGAGCCAAATAAAAAAGAAACCTCAATATCGTGAGTTATCAAACACCCACGGCTCATGTGTAAACAACTCCCGGCCATTCATTTGCACTGTTCCTACTGCAATATCTTCTGCACGTTTCCTGGATACTTCAGCTTTGCTGGCTGATACAGCAGCATCCTGAAACAGTACACATACAATGAATTTAGAGACTATAACAGATTAAATTGTTAATCCCCTGCATTAGAATAAAGTCTCTCGCAAAACTAGCTTGAAAGAACTTCAATAGGTTCAACTGAGACCTTCAGCTGGGAAGTTCAATATATTGCTCGCAATATTAGCCCCAGAAATAAATGACCAAGCCTTCAATTAATCAAATTCCCAGATATGAATAAATTATTTGCATTTGACCCCAAAAAAATTGTATATTAATAAATACCTCAGCCCCTCTCACCGCTCTCATGATAAAATGTATAGAAAAAGTTAAACTATTATAGCAAGAGGCTAGCCCTTCTTTATTCAATACACTAACCAACGTGGTGAGCATGGTTGGCAGACAACTTTGTTCCTTAAACATGCTTTAGAGTTTCAATCCCAAATCTATGCTTCCAGAAAAGCATATGTTGGGAGAGGTCAGCCTCGTAGACAGGCTTCATAGAGGTCAGCAAATCTATCCCAAATCTCGCAAATCTATCCCAAATCTATGCTTCCAGAAAAGCATATGTTGGGAGAGGTCAGCAAAGAGATATTAGTACTTCATAGATGTCACACAGGCTCACCAAAAAAGTGTTCAAATACACTCACATTCTTGGTTCCTTCGTCTATCCATTTTCTCCAAATAGGTAATTTCACATGTAACCATTTAGTTTGAACACACTATCGCATATGCATCCTTTTACATGTCTACTCTTAAGGGAGACTTGTGCTACTTCTACCAAAATCAATCACATCTAATCAACGAATCCATCAGGAGCACCAAATGGTCAATTAGTGTAGCTAAACGCCTTTTTAGTGTTCAAACAACAAAACAAGGTAACTAACGAATTTTGTGAGATGAATCCACCATAGGTCATGTTCAAAAGCTACCCTAACATATAAGAACCACAAGTCTTCTTTTGTGAATTCTGAACTTGGTTATAATCATAATTTTGTATGAATAATTTCTTCTACAAAAAAATAAAATAAAATACATAATCACAACTTAATTAAATGATTGGATAGAACTTTTAAAATACCCTAATTTCGAAATTCCTCGTCAAGTTAAAATAGTTTCAAAATAAAATAACCCAATAGAAAAAACAGAATCCTAAACCCAATAAAAAGAGAAGGAATGAAAAACCCTAATTATGGAATTGGGAAAAGTAAGAGATAAAGAGACCTTCTGGCGCTTCCATGAAAGGAATTGTTCCTGTGTGAGAGTAGGCTTTGGCCTTTCTTGTGTGTGTTTTTCCTGAGATTCAGTTTCGGCTCCCATTTTTTCGTTGTTACACCAACCAAAACTTCAGATTCCTTAGAAAGGAGTACGATGAACCCCTACCAAGACCTTCACGATGATCGTTCAACCTTTTATTAAAACTATAATAATTATATTAAATATAGAATAAAATACAATATTAAAATTATTATAATTTTAATTTAATTTTCTTCGTTTGTTTTATTTTATTTAAACACTAAATCCAACGTCTTATTAAACAATATTATTATTATTATCATTAATATTATTATTTAATATCAGTATAATTTTTATTAACTATTACTCCATCAATATATGTATATACGTAGTTAATTTTATCTATTCAATTATTAAGATATAATTTTATAATGTTTACATCATTTTTTTTATCAAAATTGATCTTTATAAATAGTTTTAAATTAATATATTTTTTGTGTATAATTTATGAAAAACCTTCCTATTTAATGATGAATTTCAAGAAATAATAATATAAAAGGACTAAAAGTCACACCGACTATAATCATCTATATAATATTTATATTAAGAGATAAAATTATTTTAATGCGTGCATCTTTTTGAGAATGAAAGGAGTGTTACTTGATTTTATAGAAGGACGCCCTGAATTGTGTTACTTAAACAATCGGAAAAACTCAACTCATTTATATTTGATTGGGTTGAGATTTGAAAGACTGATTTTTATGCATATTTTTATTGATATTTATCGATTATATATCTTGTTTAAATTTAGATGGGACACGCTTTACATAAATATTCCTAAAATATTAAATGAATCTTTTTCACTTACATATATTATTTAATTTCACTATTTTTATCTAACTTCGAGTCACGGTTGAATTCTAATAATAAAATTTCAATAATAATTAATTGGTCATGCAAAAGAAAGAAAAAAAACATCACTTCCTGTCCAAAATTGAGATATTATAAAAAGGTTCTCTAGAAACCCCATCCCAGTCATATCATGGCATGATCTTTTTTTGGGTCTAGATGTTCAGCTTCTGCGATACAAAATATATGATGCAAATTTATGTGCTAAGATATCCAATTATGCACTAACATTTTTAACAAAACCCAAGCCCTGTGCAATAGATGTTGTTCAGAATCGGTGCCCAGACACATGATATGAATCAGGCTCTTGCAATTTTGGCAGCGAGGCATGCATCTACGGCTTCTCCAACAGTAAGGAAAACCCATTCTTTTCCAATCTTGTCTACAAAGTGTGCAAGCTTAAGCTTGTGGATTACTAGCCACCTTGGGTTCACCATAGCTAACTGTGAAAGCAACATAACACCAAGTGTTAGAACATAAAGCTTTTGAGACACTAAATTCAAAGAATAAGATTAAATTCACGGTGGTCTCACTTCTACTCCACGGGAAAGCAACCTCTTGTGAAGTTCCTCAAGTGCTAGAATTCCAGAAGTATCAACATTCATCAGGTCTATTAAACAGCATTGCAAAGGGTCATTCGCATAATATCAAAATTTATTGTGAATGTTTTGACGTTAAAGTTCTTTACATCTGAAAAGTGGAACAGAAACTCACTTGTCATGTCCAGAATTACTGCTTGGACCCGACCCTTGGTGGTTTCTTTAAGGTCATCTTCATCTTGCGAGACCCACTTGAGTATTCTGGAACAAGTGAAAAAATTCATACACGGTTCTAATTTGGGCTAACCCCTCTGAAAATCATTTGTAAATTGCTTGCCTTTCTCTGACAAAATTAGCATTTGCAAAGCAGAGTGAGCCAGAACTAATGCGAATCACTATGATGCCTGGAGTGCTTATGGCCATGGGATATTGAGTAACATCACAGAAGGCTTCAGTTCTTGGAACTCTACCTAGAACTTCTATTCCAGGTCGAATTGATTGTATTAGTATCTTTGCAAACGATATTATCACCTGGATAATAACAAAAGACGAAATTATTACATAATTATTACAAAAAAAGAGAGAAATTTATTTATTTATTAATTTTCAAAAGGGTCATGAATGGAGAGAGGTGATTTCAATTGGTGCAATAGTTGAAAAAGTTTCAGTGATCAATGACTTACTGCAACTAGAAGGCCAATCTCTACTGTTGCAAACAAGACCCCAAGAAAAGCACCAATACAGGCAAGAAAGTCCAACTTGTCAACCTTCCAAATATAGCAAGCCTCACTTAGGTCAATCAGTCCAGGAAGAGCAGAGAGGATGATTGAGGCAAGGATAGCCACAGGGGTGTAGTATAAGAGCCTTGTCAACAATTCCAGGGACAGAAACACTGTAACAGCCATCACAATATTTGACACTGCTGTTTGACATCCAGCACTAAAATTGACTGCAGTCCTTGAGAAAGAACCTGAAATTGTTCGCCAAGAAACTATAAACAACTTTGATACACCTCAAACACAAGAGGAGATTTACAAATTAATTGGCACAAGAAATCACCCGTTGCTACATAGCATGAAGTCAAAGATCCTGCAATGTTCATGAATCCCATTGATAACATTTCTTTGTTCCCATCAAGATGGTATCCCTTAATGGAAGCAAAAGATCGACCAACGGCTATAGCCTCCTGAATCAGAACATCAAGTTAGTTGCCATCAGGTTCACATGACTCAACTGGAGAAAAAATAATAATAACAATTTGGAGAAAATCAGAAAATGAATTAACATACAGTGAGGGCAATAACTGCACAAATCAAACCAATTTTAGCTGCTTGACCAACATGTGGACCATGGAGTTGCAACTGGTGCAATGAACTTGGATTCAGACCTCCTTTGACATGCTTTATTATATTAACCCCATGTTTATCAGCTCTTGACAAATATACAATTAAAGTTGATAGTATAACTGATAGAAGGGGAGAAACAGCAGGCAACCAGAAAAACTTTCTGTTTCTTCTGCCCTGAAATGAAATGCATCACATACATCATCAAAACTTTAAAATTAATCAAAAAGGTGATGATGAGGGTAATAGAAGAAATTAAGTACTCACAATAAATCGGGTAATTAGAATGAAAATCAAGAATGAACACCCGAGGACAAAATTCATAGGATTCCACTATCATTGAAATAAGAAAAGAATTATGTCAGATGTTCAGCTAGTTATAAAATACAATACAAGTATTCAAATTTATGAATAAGAATTTGTGTAACTTTATATTATTGTAAGTGAAAACTATCAGAACATGAATAGCAAAGTAAATCCAACTCACTTTTTCTCCTGAGGCAATTTGATGATGTAGTGACTTATAAACAGATGCTAAAACTGATACTGCATCTGTTTTGGAGGTGAAGTGACTAATCCCCAGCAAACCTTTGAGCTGCTGAAGACCTATAATGACGGCAGCACCTGCCATGAATCCAACTAGGGCAGCATGTGAAAGAAAATCCACAAGAAAACCCAACCTGCAAGTGTTGAAGGATAATGAAAAGTGAGTACTACTAATTAGAAGCATGTTCGATTTATTTATTTCTCATGTTTTAAAAGCTGTTTTCTAACACAATCCCCTGTTATTCATCAATTATTTGTTATTCGAAATCTATTTAGTTATGAAAATGGTTTCTCAAACAAGTGTTTTAAAGACCAAAAATTATAAAAAGCTCAGGGATGTTTTCTTCTTCTGTTTCGTGGTCTTAGTTCAAGGGTGTTATATGTTACATGTCCCGAGGCATGCATGCACTTTGACAAATAGTTTCTAAAAATAGCTAGCAACCGCACCCTTATACTGAGAAAACTACAAATTTACAAGAAGTTTCATAAATTGATGAGGAAAGCACCTGAAAACACCAAATGCAGTTTGAAAAATTCCAGTGAAGAAAGTTACAGTAAAGACAAGATTTCTGTAGGCATGAGGATTGGCAACAGGATCTTCCACTTTTGGAACCAGAGAAGATAGCAGCATTGACACTACAGCCACAGGTCCAATTGCAATTTCTCTTGAGCTCCCCATCAGAGCATAAATAAGGGGAGGAATGACACTGGTATCTGAATGGAACAAAACAAAACCAAACCAACAGTGAAATAAAGAAAGTAAATGTTGATCCAAAAAAGAAAAGCGCATTTTTTTTCCTACTCTGGCTATGCCAATTTCTTGTGTGACATATCAGTAACAGGGTAGACTTAAGCCAGGTACTTACACAGGCCATATTCAGGAGCAACTTTTGCTAAAGTAGCATATCCTATGCTCTGCAATATCCAAATGAGAAATTAAACAATGAAGGTACAAGATCTAGGAAATGTATTCAAAATCTCATGCCTGCATTGCACTGAAAAAGGAGAAATAACATTGGTGAAATAATTACCTGAGGTATGCTGAGGCTGGCAAGAGTTAAGCCAGCTAAGAGGTCATCTTTGAACTTGGAGGCTTTGTAATCTCTTAACCAGCTAATGATTGGGAACAGATTCTGCAAGCATGAGATTGCCTGTCCATGGGAAGTTTTCCTCTTTGATGAGAAGCAAAACTTGTTCCCGTGAGGCAGAATGGTTTCCTTGACAGAACTAAATAGCTTCTTCCAAAGGGGGGGTGGGTTGGGAGAATCAAGCACCCACTGGGACCTCTCTGTCTGACCATGTTCCTCAAGATGAAAGACCGCTTGTTCTCTCATACTGGAACTTGGAAGCTTCAATGCATGGTTGTTTGAAGTGTTTGGGTGAACTTTGGTCAGCTGTACTTATTGTACAATCATGTCAGTTAAATACAACCAACACCACTCCTTTTGACATAGGGTCAATTTATTTTGATGATTGCATGAAAGGGGTAGCAGATCGGTGATATAAGCCTATTTGGAAGAGTCATTGTTGTGACACCACCTTCATTGGCTTGTGTCAAAAGTTGTGACTGGTTGGTTGATAGTATATAGAGTATAGACCCCTTTAATATGACTCCATAAGAGAGCATCTATTCCTGCTTATGGGTAAAATTGGCTTTCTGGATCTAGCTAAATTTCATTTCTAGCATCATTGCATTTTGCATGTAATGGAAGGGGAATATAGACAATTATGTGGTTGGTACCTCGTGCTAATACTTATCATCATCTGAACTGCAATAATTGAAAAGAATTTAATGTGAAATTCAACAAGTGGTTGAATTGAGTGTATGGATTTGGATTTTCTAATTAAGTCCTTAGCAGTTTAAATCCTAATTTTTACAACATGCGAGATTGTGGATAAAAGGAGTAGTGTAATTTTTTTTTTAATTCTTAAAATGTGTATTTTATAAAAAAAAATTACGCAAATGAGTAATTAAAAACACGATTTCAAAAGAAAAAAAAACGGTAGTACCCAACATGACTTTATTTTTTACAATTTTAATATTGAACTCGTAAATCAAAAGAGGGCATGAGTTTAATTTTTTCCATTTAACTTACAATGAAGTAGTAGTTTCATGCAAAACTTCACTTTTTTTTATGTTTTAATGATTTTAATATAATAAATAATTAATTTTATTATTACTTATTATTATAAATAATAATTATAATAATATTAATCATTATGATAATTATAACAATAACTAATAATGTATCCTTTAATTATTATAATCATAGTATTTTTCTATGATAATAATAAATAACCATAATTATTATACTAATAAAATAATAAAATTAATAATGTTTTGATTATACAAATTAAAGGAGAAGTAATAGTTATTATTTATTGTTATAGTTATCATAATTATTAATAATATTATTATAATTACTAATTATAATAATAAGTAATAATAAAAATTAATTATATTACTATATTAAAATATAAAATGAAAAAAAATGAAGTTGTGTATGAAAAGACTACTTTAAAAAAAAAAGATTGTTATATAATTTCACTATTAAAATTGTAAAAAAATTAAAGTTGTATGTCAAAATATAACTTTTTTAAAGTCGTATTTGTAAGGAAATATATATTTTTTTTAATATTTATTTGAGGAATTAAAGAAAAAAATTACACCATAATGGTTTGCCGAGATTGCGAGGAAAAAATATATAAAAAAAAGGAATATTCATACAATAGTGTTTTTATGCATCGAAAAAAATAAAATAAAAGGAAGAATAAGATTAACTTAAGCTAAAAACGAAAAAAATGTTCAACTTTTCTACTTGTTTAAATTTCAAAATTGTTTCCTTTCTTCTTTTTCTTGCTGAAATTCCAAATATAAGCTAAGTGTCTTCATATTTGTAAGGACATTAAAATGATGAATGAAAACAAAAAACTCTTTATTTATTGTGCCCGCCATTGTTGTGAGCAGTGCAAGTCTGTGAAAGAATCAGAATTTTCAGTGAATGCGACAAGGCATTCACAATCATGTCATGTCTATGTGCTGTTGTATTTGAGATTTTATGCTTTCTGACCGTTGGATCAATCTTTCTTAATTAATGTGTCTTTTACAGTAACGAAAGAGATTATATATATATAAAAGGAGTGATATGATAAAAAAAAAAAAAAAGATGTACAAATTTATTATAGAAAATATAAAGAAGAATCAATGTATCTCTTTCAGTTTATGGGTATATCAAAATCTTTTGATCATTTTTTATATAATTAAATAAATAATTTTTGACAGCTATAACTAACTAAATATTCGGAGACTAAGCGTGTGACTTTTGTTGTCTAATTAAATAAATATTTTTTGACTGCTATAATTAAACAAAGAGACCAAGGATGTATTTTTTTATGATTTAAAGCCTGATACACATTATTTGATGATAATGACAAGTTTTTTTTTTAAGTTTGTAATTTAATATCAAGTATCAATTTGTATTTTATTTTTAAACATTTTTAATTGGTGTATAATATTTAATAATTTTATTGATAAATAATTTTTTCAAAAAAATTGATTGGATAATTTATGAGATCTGTCCTCCTATAACCTGTTTTACTAACTTTGGTGCCACGAGTGGTGAGACATGGACTTTGGTGCGGGCCTCTATTTTTTTTAGTTATGAAAATAGAAATTAACTTCAAAAACCATAAATTTACAAGAAATTTCACAAAATGATGATGAAATCACCTAAAAACACCGGTTTGGAAAATTCCAGTTAAGAAAATTATAATAGTGACAAGTCACACTGTGATTGTTAACGTATTCAAATGAATAAAACATGAGTTATTTTATTCTTTTTTTTTTACCGTTAAGATTTTGTAACTTCGGTTTCGATATGAATGAATTCTATGGATTCATTAAGATTTTTAGAAAAAATAATATTTGGTCAATTTGCCTAGATTTCATCAAAGTTAAAAAGACTGTACTTCTACATCTGTCCAGGTCCAAGAGCCATCATTACCTTCCTCCTTTGTTTGTTTGAATCGCACTCACTTATTTTAATCAAGAAAATATTTATATAAATATTTTATGTTAAAGAATTTTTAATCTAATGATAAACTTGAAAATAAAAATTGATTTAATTAAATTTTACATTTTATCTTAATTTTTAAATAAAATTTAAACAGCTAATTATCTCACAAATTTAATTTTGTATTCAATAATATATTTTCACATAAAATACATTATTATATTTATGTGTTTTGTACAAATAAACCAATAAATGGACAGTCCATGCTTTTCTTTTGTAATTATTTCCATTTCATATTTATGAAATGCGGTATCTCAAATTCACATAATCTATTTTCGACTTTGAATTATAAAAAGGAAAGTGTTTCTGGTGGAATTTCAATCGATTTCGATTCTGAGGGTGTTTTGGTCCTAATCAAAATTCTACCACGTAAGCTCTTTTTACTTAGGCTAGCAATTTGATTTTCAATCGAAAACGTGTATGAGAATCGAAAACTCCAGGGTATCGAAAATGCTGTTTTTGGTGTTTTGTATTTAAAGTATCGAAAGCATTAAGACTATCGAATCGAAAAGCAGAATATTAAATTGCGAGGAAATATAAAATGCGAGAACCCCAAACTTGCATTAATTGTAAATAGCGAGAAATCGAAAACAACGCAAATATAAATGACAAGGAATCGAGATTGCAAGAAAAGTAAATGACAGGAAATTGAGATTTGCAGAATGTTAAATAACAGGAAATCTAAATGCAGAAACTCAAATTTTCATTGAATTGAAATGGACAAGGAATCGAAATACAGAAACATAAAACTGCTGAATTTAAGTTGCATCAAAATAAATTACCAAGGAAAATACAGAAAGCGGTAAATGTACTCAGTGAGCAAGGAAATCCAGATTGCCAGAAACTTCATGGTGTTCGTCGTTTCTCCGGTAGACTTTTCACTACCAATCCTGTTCTCTGCCAATTTCTGCTCCCCCCTCTGTTCCTTTCTCCTTTGCTCTATTTATAGGGCATCCTTCAAGCCTTCTGAGAGCAGTTAACGCGATTGCTACCACGTTCTACGTGCGTATGACAGTTTATCTTCTATAGTTTCTCACGTTCTCATGATCTCCGACTTTTTCCCATGATTTCAGAACTGCTCTCTATACGTGCATTTGACTCACTTCCCTTCACAATTTGGCCAAAGTCTCGATGTCCACATTGGCTTTCTTTACTCTCGATTCTGTATAATTCGAGAACTTCGAATTGCTTATGATTCCTTTTTAACCCTGGTCTTATATGACTTAGTTTTTATTCGACAACAGTTATTTGATTGTAATTCATTTGATTCTCGATTGTGTTTCTCGATGCTATATGCTACGTATTTCTAATTAGACATCGAATGAACTTTTGTTTATCTTATCGAGTCATATTTCTTCCCTTCGATTTCGATCGCTTTTCTCGATTTGCCACTAACAAAATGCCCCCTTGGAAGAATATAAATGATTTCTGTTTTATATTCTTGCAATATTCCCGCCTTAGTGTTTGAAAGCCCACAAGATTTAGGGTTTAGGGTTTCTGGGGTTCTAGGGTTGAAAAGGGTTTTAGGTTTCTTTTCCACTTTACGTCACCATCTCGTCAGTCTGTTACCTTTCAGTACAAGTTACATTAATTACCTTTCCCTTCCGTCGTTTCCAACTCCCTAGACGATTTTCCCCTTAACCTCTCCCTTAGTCTTCACTCTGGTTTTTACGCGAACCATTACCCTCTGTGCAATTTTATCTTCTCCCTTGAGCTCCTGCCTTCGTCCCTGTTACCTCATCCGTTAATTCTTCCCTTTTTGTTTTCCTAAGCTTACTCCAATGGCCACTTCATCCAAGTCATCTGATTTCTCTACTCCCCCTCTTGCCTCATCTGCTGCTGCCTTGCTGGAGATTAACAACCAGCGGTTTGCTCCCCTGCCTTTGATGGAGGAAGCTTCCAAAAAGATTGCTGAAACACAGGTATTAGTTCCTTATACTGTTGAGGGGGTTGGTTTTGCTTTTGGGGGCCCCATTCTTTCTGGTAGCGGAATTGTTTCTCCCCTCGCCCTCTCAAACAACCCTGCTCTTGTACATCAGCCTGAAGTTAGGATCGATTTTCTGAACATTGTTTCTAAGGTGTATCGGACAGGCCCTCCCTCTAAAAAACCTTTGTTCACTAAATGGTTTGATAGGGTCAAGGCTAAATTCGGGGACCATTGGAAGAACGTGGGGATTTTCGATTTTTTACACTTATCTCAATGTGATTTGTCCTACTTAGACATGGCTATGTTTTTGGCTGCCGTGCATTTGTGGAATAAG